AACGGAATCGCGTACTCAAAAGGCTGCCTAACTAACTCTCCCGCAACTACTCCTTCACGAAACGGAACTATTGTCACCTATGTCAATTTGTTTTGCCTTTTTTCCATTTGTTGCTTCGCTGCGCCATCTTCGTAAAACCAATAAAAACATTAAAGAACACGTGACTGGGTTTTCTTTCCTCTGAGCACTTTCCCTTTCCTTCAGGCATGTCCGGCGAGTTGGGAAATAAATTTGCTACCCAGAAGGGCCCGCGGCACGCGCAAGCTCCGCTCTCTCGGCATCCTGCCTTTGGTCACGGCCCATTACGCCCGATTTCGCGTGTATTTGCTTGTTTTTCTTGTCGCTGTATTGTTTTCTTCCATTATTATTCTTTTTTCGAGCACCCGAGATTGAATTCGCCGCCGTCCACGAGCCCGTTCGACATTGAGCCGGTCTCGGAGACTGCGTCCCATGCTCCGTGGTGCGGAGGCGTCAACGATATTTTATTGCCGCCCGAAAAATATATGACATGTCGCATTGTGCGTCGCGGCTTATACGCAGCCGTATATGTCTGAAAACTCCCTTGCTTTACGCTAGCTTGTTTTCCTTCTGTGTAGTTGAGCCCGTAACACTGGCGCGCAGATGATGGAAACAACAGAGGTGCCCGAGAATTGTTCGTTGACAGATTGCATGTTTAGAAATTTATTTGCACGAAACATGGACGCCAGGGAACGAGTCACCGACTCAGAGAGTATGTCTGCGCCTGTTTCATGTTTTTACAGAAAGATGGAGAAGAAATCGTCCACAGTTTTAGCATATCACATTACTACTGGCAATCAGGCGTGTTCCCAGTTGACGTCTTTTACAGCAAAATCTGTTAAAAGATCACAACGTGGGTCACGCAAGCACCGCAGTTGTCCGCGGCCACCGGTGTCCGTAACCAGCATCGCAAAAAAATAGGAAAATCAAATAGTACATAAAAACACCCAGAAAACACAAAGAGATTGGAACTTGTGTCCGCTGTGTGCCAGCCCAGTATTCTACCACTGAGCTATGCCTTTTTTTTTACATAGTATTTAATACAAAAGCGGTTCACGGTATATACATAGCACACAGCAGACATAGGGTAATGTCGAGAATTGTACAATGAACGCTACAAAGTAAATATCATACAACACAATGTCTAAAGGGGTATTTGAGTTGCACTCTTCATGAACTCAGCATACCAGTTCGGCTGAAATTTTAGTTGATCATAAAAGTCCCTTAGCCGCAAAGTCATTCGCACAAAGTGGCATCGCGAATCGATTGGTTCCACATGTCTGTCCAACATGCGAGTTTTCATAAACTATGCATGCCTATTAATAACAGCATGTCAACTGGAATATCATTGTATTTAGTTGGCACAAGATAAAGGATGCTATGAAAATTGGAATTCAGACATTTTTTTTTAAATCTCTCTATTGCAATAGCTTTTAAACTCACGTTAGGCAGGCTCGATGTTGGAAAGAAAATGCGTTATTTAAGTAATAACGGGTTTTACAAGATCAGATGAACAACCAGGCGTCACACAATGCGAATTGCGTAACGAGTGGGTCGTGCAATGCTCAACCCATGAGAAAACTTGTTCTTTATCACCTACTAACTGCGGCGCATACCTTCTTCTGGCATAATTCTTCATCGTCAGCCACAGCATCACAAATTGCACGAAAATTGCTAGCAAGTGTGTAACGGATACCACGATTGTTCGGAGAATGACGAAAAATAGCATAGTGAATGCAAGTCTACTACACAAAAAGTTGTGATTGCATATAGCGCAGTGAGTACCCAGCAAGTGTGCTCGTAGCAGTTACCCAAAGAGTGTTAGTAAAGTCTCTAGAAGGCGGGGCTTTTTTTTTTTCACTGATAGCCACATCACCAGCCATCTTTTAAAGCTGCTGTTTTTCTCTCGTGAATTATGTTTGTAGTTTAAGTAGCCTAAAGGTTACTACAAGTTAGTTTTCATAGTTCCAACTTGAAGTTAGGAGATATTTTATTTAATGCCTTTTGAAAATTTTAACATCACCCTAAGCTCGTCTAACTTAACGTTTATTCTATATTCCTGCGCATGGATATACACGCCTACGCAAGTCGGGGACTAGTGTTAGGTTGACCACAACAACCGCTTCGCCATCTTCTCAGTAACTGTGAAGATAGCTGCCTTTCATTTTTTTACTCTCTCTCCCTGGATAGATAGATAGATAGATAGATAGATAGATAGATAGATAGATAGATAGATAGATAGATAGACAGACAGACAAACAGACAGACAGACAGACAGACAGACAGACAGACAGACAGACAGACAGACAGACAGACAGACAGACAGATAGATAGATAGATAGATAGATAGATAGATAGATAGATAGATAGATAGATAGATAGATAGATAGGATAGATAGATAGATAGATAAATATAGATAATAGATAAATAGATAAATAGATAAATAGATAAATAGATAGATAGATAGATAGATAGATAGATAGATAGATAGATAGATAGATAGATAGATAGATAGATAGATAGATAGATAGATTCCAGAGTGGAACAAAAAAGGGTGACTCGATGGGTACGTTTGTCCAGGATTACACAAACTTCACTGGCTCGCTCAGCTTTGCTATGGAGGATTAGTGGGCAAGCCGGGCCTCTTTCAAGTTTGTGCTTAGGGTCTTGCTTCAATTTGAGACAATGAATTTCGGGGTTACCGCTCTTTACCTTGCCGTGTGATCTCTGTACAAGTTGGCCTCTCTTCGCACCATAAAAGGGGTCCGTGTGTGGTTTGAGATGTTATGCAGCTCTAAAATAACTTTCGGTACTTATTGGTTTGCAGTCGGGGCCAATCTCGCGACTTTGTTTATGCATTGCGGGTACGGGTGACTTTATTGTAGAAAGGCGCGTATCGCAGTCTGTAGAATATCTCGTGGCGTTGAGCGGAGCTCTTTGATGAAAGAGAGAGAGAAAAATACGCTCGTGTTTTTTGTTTCCTTTTCTTCATGTGCCTTCGTCTTACCTTGTGGCACCGTTTCAGCAGCATGAATTCACACCAACTTGCCCAGCTGTCCGTCCTTCTAAGAGAGAGAGAGAGAGAGAGAGAGAAATTGACCGACTCGGTCTGCCAAGAGTGCTCAGGAGAGGCGGCCATACTTAGACACCTTGGCACAGGGCAGTGTCTTAGGCCCCTCGCGGCCATCCTTTGCTGACTGATAATGTTGGAGCTCATTGAGGCTCTGTCTAACACTTCGGTGGTGTGCAAAGGGCCGCGGAAGTTTAGTGGTCATTTTCAGCAGCCTACTGTTGTACTTCGGAGATAACGAGGATCTACGCTGAAGCTGCATTGCGGAAAGATTTGTGTAAGGGCTACGAGGTGATATTTTGTTGGGTGTGCGAAGGCGTTGACCTGCAGAGCACAGAGAAATATCTGTACTTGTCCAGGTAGTGACTTGTGTGTCGGGCTTGACGTTCGAATGTTCATTGAGCGGTCCAATCAACAGGTTTCCCATCCCCCTCCCTCTGCTCCTCTCTCGCGTCTGTGGCTCTGCATGTGCTCGGCACGTTGTTAATGCGCGGAGATCGTCTAAATTGACACCTAACGTTCATCGGGGGTCTGCCTAAGGAGGAATTTCCCCCGATTAGTGACAGTCGACAAATACACAGGGAATCCGACATAACTACAACCAATTAACTTCTCTGATTCAAGTGCTTTATGACCACTCCTTTGGCTACTTTCTCTGCTGAGCAGATGGAGAAAAACTCTATGGCCGCAACTTCGAGGTTCTTTTTATTCTTCTTGCCATAGCTATTTGCCTTCTTCTTTTATCGTCACCAGAACAGTGAAGTGACTGTCGGAAATTTCGCGCACGTCAATGCATATTGACTCTGTAAGCGAGTCGCAACGTTTTTGTGAAGAAAAAGCCTTGTTAAATGCAGTACATTGAAGTAAGATCTTCCTCTGGCTGCGTTAAAACACGTTGCTTATAACAAGGCTTTAGCGAATGATGTAATGAAAGTTGACGACATCAGGCCTTGCTTCATGCGTGTTCATAGCCCTCGCTGACATAAGTCATTGTTGTCAGAAACAACGCTGGATGTAATCTAAGTGAGTCCCTTTTTCGCACTCTGCAATGTGCTTTCGATGTGCGAGAATGCATACCTGTAAATTATAATGCTATTTTTGGTAAGCTATCGCAACTGTGTTTGTGATTATGACTATCCGGCCATGTCACAATTTTGTTTACAGTTGTTGTTAGATTTTAATGCGGAAACGAAATTAGCACGCGCACAGTTTTTTTTTTTCGCACGAAGTAGACATTTTTATGGTATTCAGGCTTTCGGTGTTGGCTGAGAAGCCAGAAAAGTTCTCAAGTTCTCTAAAGCCTGGAAAATCCAACGCACAGTGAGAAGCAAAGCTCCGAAATCAGGACAGCAGTGAGAGAAATTTGATATATATTTAGCAATGTTCCGCAAAGTGAAACAGCTGCAATTGATTCGGCTGAAATAGCTCACCATGCAGTATTAGTGTGTAGCATAACACCCTGTCTAAAAATAATTGTGCTCTTATCTGCATCCTACATTAGTGACCAAAGAAACATTTTTCCCGTTATTGATCTTGAAGAAACACGTTTATCTTATTGACTCACTATCACTTTAATGGGTCGTGGTTTGTGGAAGAGGAGTGGCTTAGCAGCGTGGTTACAATTAGAAACTTTTTCTCTTCAAAATAAACATTCAGCTGGAAGGTAGCGCTCTTGCGTTTCGCATTCTTTTCATTCCTCGCTATAGGAGTTTCTTTAACACTAACAATATACGATGGAGTACCAAGTAACATGAATATGTTCATTGGGTAGATGCATTGCATTTTTCTTCAGCCGACTGGTTTCAGCTGCAAAAGCAAACAAACAAACAAATAACAAGATATACTTGTAGAAACATTGGGTCTCCGAGCTGTTTGCGAGACAAACGTACATCTCGCAAAAAATATTCTAGGAAGGTTTCTCAAATATTTATTTATTCCTGGTCACACTAGTCGAGGTTTCGCAATAGCGAGGGTATTACGAGTCACTTGCCTGATCAACGAACGTGAATGGCGCAGACCTCGAGAAGGCATTGTGGTGGAAGCTGGCACACGTTTATTGAACACAATCGAGCCATTCGGCATTGTGTGTGCCCTCGGGTGAAAGCTCGTCTCCGCTTGTATACGATGCAGCCAGTGTAGTACGGCGGTGACAAAAAGAGACTTCCAGCATTCATGGCCGTCCGCGACAGTCAGTGGTACGTACACCTAGGAGCCGAAAACTTGGGAGAATAAGCGAGGTATAGGAACCTGTCAGCGAGAGAAAATATGACGCGCGCGTGAAACAAGAGAAGTTTGGTGAAAGTCCAATAATGGTAGAAAAAGAAAATAGATGAAGGACGAAAGATAAGGAAGCCGCTCGGGCGTAAGATGCAGTGACGCGTGAAGTAACATGAATTGCAAACAGCCGAGAATGCGTAATGCATATAAACGATGCCCTCGCGTCTCTCTACCTATAGTATCGCGGAAGGCTGGGAAAAAGAGAGAATGCACTCTCGCTTCCTGGCCTTTCGAAACTTGGATGAATTCTCGGGAGAGATGCACTCGACTCTCAAGTGCGTAGCGCGTGGATCGCACGCGAGCTTAGCTTTCACAATTGTTACTTGCGCGATTGTGGGTCTTTTGTTTACTTCTCGGTACTGAGCTCTATATCTCTTCGTTTGATGCCCTCTTACGTGTTTTCTTTTGTTTTTTTAAATTTACAAAAGCATGAGCGATTGCCCCAAGGCGTAAAAAGCAAAAAACAATTGCTATTTCACTAATACTTCGAGGGCAGCTTGCGTAACATTACGCTCGCCAGGAAGAGGCGCTTCTCTTTTGCGTGTTATGCATAAAGGCGTCTGCGGAATGTTTAAAAAAAACTGGCTTTACAGCATGCACACGCCAGAACACTAGCTTCACGCTATTTTGTCAAGAACAAGAAAACCATTGTAGACATTACAGCGTGGGTCTGTGTCATGTCCATATATATATATATATATATATATATATATATATATATATATATATATATATTTAATAAGGCAACATAACTTGGAAAAACTGTTAGCATGCAGTGTTGTTGAAGCTTCGTTTTTTTTCTGCTTAATAATTGATAGAAAAAGAATATGTCCTTGCTCTTTGCCACGGTATATTCAAACCAGTTTCGACATCCTGAAATGACCAGTTCCTTATTGTATTGCCAGCCGAAAAGAAACGTTTGCATGATCAGGATCTTACTGCAGCATCAATATAAGCACATGTGCAGGCTTAAAAAACAGCTGTCTGCTCTTTCACCTACGAACATTTCAAGTGTGCCTTGGTTGACAAAATATAACCTCCAAATTGAATATTGACTCAGTACCTAATATTCTCGCCGGAACCACTCGCAGATGGTTTGTGCAGTTTCAGAAATCTTCTGTATGAAATCATGCTTTAGTCGCGTTCACGAATCCCTCGTTTGTGCAAGCATATTTTCAGACATTCCCTTGTCTATCATACTCCGAATGTGTGTGTTTCAAAAAGAATGGAAACTGTGATTTATGATTAATGTTTTAGTGCGTATACATTTTAGCATTACCGTTTAAACCACGGAGGAAGGAAAAACACAGAAGGGAGCACGCACCCAGCCTTGGCAAGCCAACCCGTTTTGAATGGATCAAAGTCAGACCAACACGTGACGTTTCGCCGTGAGATCGCGTAATAAACGAGACTTGCTGATACCACCGAGTACGGCGCCCTGTAGCTTTTAATTTAAATGCGCTGGTTCGGCGGAGACTGGCCGCAGGAGTTTCAAAGACGAAACAGCACCGAAAGTACTAAAGGCTACCGCTAGCTCTGGCATCTTGATCACGTGTTGGGCCGACAAGGTGGGCTTCGCTCATGGGATGTAATTATCCCTCTTTTTTTTTCTTCCTCCATGATTTTAACGAAATACAGTACAATTATGAATGTGAATGTTTACATGCGTACGCAGACGTACACATATGCCTACGTCTGCGCAAACCACTGAAATAAGGCAGAAACGTCACTGTTGTGGTAAAATAATAATACAGGTTTCAGCTTCTACTAGGTCATTCCGGAGCATGCGATTGATTGATTGATTGATATTTAGGGTTTAACGTGCCAAAACCACCATATGATTATGAGAGACACCACAGTGGAGGGCTCCGGAAATTTCGACCAAGTGGGGTTCTTAACATGCACCCAAATCTGAGCACACGGGACTACAACATTTCTGCCTCCATAGGAAATGCAGCCGCCGCAGCCGGGATTTGAGCCCGCGACCTGCGGGTCAGCCACCGGGTACATTAGCCACTAGACTACCACGGCGGGGCTCCGGAGCATGCGAAGGTGTTCAGATTACCGAGTCACCACACCATGGTGTCGACTCTTCGAGACGCTTTGTACAATCATGATCATATGCAAGCTTGTTTTCCCCTCGGTTCTTTTTTTTGTTTTGTTTTTCTCAGCAAAAGGAATGAACGGAAAATTCGACAGATCTCACATGCCTTGGGAATCGATGTTATGCTAAACATAAAGAGGGAAGTTCACCAATTTGGTGTTTTTTGCTATTGAGCAACACGTGATAGAATTGCGTTAAATATATGTTCACATGATGTACACATGAACATATGTTGAACAGCCGCACATGTTTCATGTAAGCAGTTGTTTACTCTTGAGCAACGATGCCAACAGCATTATGAGTATTAGCAATATGTTATGGGGTAAGCTGATATGTAACGCTTGTGCTCGCGACTGGGGTAGGCCTGGACACTGCTACATAAGTGAACTTCTGTATATGACATTTAACTAAAACTGACTGTAACCCGAGGAGACGCCTGTATCGCAGTACATATGCAATGCTTATACAGTCGAATAGCCAGAATTGCAACCGTAAATGACGTTTCATCTACAATGCACCTGAATTGTGCATTTTTTTCAAAGCAGTACCGAGACCTGGCGGGGCTCTGCAGCTGCACATCTTTGTCGTCCAGAATGCTTGCGTTCGATTCCTGCTGGGACCCTGATGTTCATCGCGCCAACGCTGCCGATATCAGTTTTTCTCAACGATCATGCATTTAAATTACCAATGTTAGTTGTCGCCGTTACTGGGTACATATAAACTGTCAATCACCTGTGGCACACACCCGTCCGCGGGTATTATTATTCATGTCGCGACCAGCGCGTCATATTCGTCAGACCATTTTACTCTTTCATACTAATTTTCATTCACCCTCATTTAGGGGGTGATAACGTGAGCACCCAAACGTAGGCGGATGGATGGATAGATAGATAGATAGATAGATAGATAGATAGATAGATAGATAGATAGATAGATAGATAGATAGATAGATAGATAGATAGATAGATAGATAGATAGATAGATAGACGCAAAAAGTGCCTGCAGTACGCAAGCAAATGCTTCACTTTTAAAAATTAGTGCATTCTTATATAAATTGCTGCAAAGCATTTACAATTTACATATGGTTTCTGAAATAACTACTGTGCTTGCTTCGTTTATCTCGGCCACGCAATATTGCACCACCTATCCGGCTTCCCCGCGGCTTTAGTACTACCACGTTTACGGCTTCTGTATTCTTGGCCTCGCGAGGATACGTAACCCGCTTTACACAACGTGGTCATATTTGGCAAACGCACATCGGCCTATTTCTACTCGTTGGCTGGAGCCTCCGTAAAGCGGATATCGCTAGCTGCCGCGAACGCAGGTGAATCTGCGATATGTGGCCGTAAACGTAAAAGCGTTTGGCGAGTACTTAACGTTCCGTGAAAACAAGGCTACGTTTCGCAAAGATCTGCGTCACGTAGGTTATACTCTGACACGGTAACGTTGGATTCACGTTACCGAGTTGCAGTAAAATCCAGCCCAGGTAAAGTGAAAAGTACTCGGGCCAGCAAAAGAGCTCTATTAATTTGATTACTGTCTTTCTGGAAATTCCCAAACTCACCAGCATGCTTCAGCGTTTGTTTCTGATAGTTTTTTTTTTGCTAACATGAGCAATGAAGTAGAACTTAATATAATGAATCAACAGATGTTCTGCTGAGCGAAAAGTGTGTGACATCAACTGTTGGATCGAATGATCACTGATTTGCGGAAGCTGCGTATACGTCGTATCTATCTCACAGTATAGCTCCAAAACACGTACGCTTTATTGTGGCTGTTGTTTAACGCTCGTAAAAATAACCATGATTATCACAATCACATCGTCGCGATAATAATCATGATTGTTATCAGAACCATCGTTCTGATTAGATGGCAAACCCTTTTGCAAGGAAACTATAAACTGCAATCGAGGGGAGCATTCTTGGTAGGAGACACATGGTTTACTAAGCTGTTCGCCTCGTTCATGGCACATTGTGTGTCATTTTATTACATAATTGACGTTATTAGTCTCATTGTTGCTTAATATGCTTACATTATTCTTACTCAACCACACATAAAAATATTTTTGCGAGTGTTAAAACTTCACACTGCGTACACTGGCTTTGGCGATTCAACAGCAATGTTTCTTGCTAAGTACTTTTATCAGAATACTTTTTCAATGATATTCAGGTGCTTCTATATTTTACATTCTTTCTTTGGAACTAAAAGATGATGTGATTCTCCGCTGTAAAAAAACTTCTTTAGGAATTTCTGTAAATTTGTGTGTCATTTACTGCAATCTATTGTCAGAAATTTGACACCTAAAACACATTGCATAGAACCTCCATTCGACATTTACCAAGCCGCCACACGTTAAGCTTCGAGGTAACATTAACTAACCATCGCTTAAGTGCGTTTTTTTGTTGCATATCGATGCTATGCAAAATTTTTGTATCTTTGTATGTTGCTGTTTTTTTCTTTCTTTGAGAAAAAAACTAGTTTCATAGTAATTCAGTTTAGTTTAACTCACCCAAAAAGCATCTGCAAGCGTTCGTGTAATTGACCAGAGAAGAAAATGTCCCCCTTATCGAAACAGCAGGAACGCTTTCTTTCTTGTCCCCATTGCTTTTAGCAGAGGTGAAAAGGTCATCGTCCGAAGCTAAGTCCATCGAGGCACAACGCACATGGGCACTACACACAATGACACGTCACATGGTATTGACGGAACACGTCGGCAGGTGTGATGGCGCGCCACCCTTCATTAGCTTGAAAGAGCAGGCACCCCCCCCCCCCCCTCTATCATCAGTCCAGCGAGAGAAGAGCGCACGGAACAAGCGGGCTCTCTCGCTAAGACGCCAAGGGTCCTTGGGATGCCTCGGAGGCCCCC